GAAGGAGCAGAGTACGCATATGATTAAGGAAAAATAAGCCATGAAAAGAGCTTACTGTCATTCGCAACTTCAAGCTTGGAACTGTGAGCCATATCAGTTTACAACAAGAGGCATGGTAAGGAGTTGCGCAAAACTGATAAATCGCTAACGGTGGCGTTTTTGCGATCTATTAAAACTGTTGGTGGTGCTTTGTATGTAACAGCAAATTGAAGTTCTTAACCGCTTGGTGGAAACACTGTGTTAACTCACGCGTGAGAATCAGGCTGGTTTTAGACCTGGTCGAGATTTTATAGACCACATCTTTACTCCTCGCCAACTTTTCGAGCACCGGCATTCTTTTCGTAGACCCACCATCTCCGTCTTCCTCGACCTGAGGGCGGCTTTCGACTCAGTCGACCGCTCTAAACTCTGGCGCTGCCTTTATCTGAAAGTCGTGCCCGAGAAGTTAATTTCAAAATTACGATCGCTTTATACTAATAGCCGAAATTGAGGCCGGGCATACGGCACTGATTCGCCCGCGTTCACCACGAAAAGTGGTGTTCGTTAGGGTTGCCCTTTCTCCGTTTCTATTTAACTTCGTGATAGATTTGATTATGGAAACAGCCGTATCCTCGTGGCATCGCTTTTCTCCCAGATAGTAGACTGTCTGATCTGGAGTACTCAAACGACATTGTACTACTAGGCGAAGGAATGGGTAAGTTGTAAACTTTTCTACATAGCTTGAGTGTCTGTGTAGGTGTTTTGCACTTTCAAAGTGTATAATGTTCCTACAAGACAGGGTTGGTCCAGAACCCAGCCTCGCTCTAACTGGGGAAGTGATAGACCAAACGGATAAATTTGGTTACTTGGGCAGCTATTTTTCACCCCGTGGAAGCCTCATAGATGAAGTGTCAGCTAACATACTGAAGGCTCAAGGTTGGCATCTGCCAATTTCAAACATCTATGGCACCGCCAGGACATCCGTGAAGGGTCAAGTGTACACTGCGGTAGTTCGGTCAGTTCTACTATACAGCGAAGGAACTTTGCCATTAGGAAAACAGGATAAAGATACAGTAGTGTTCGAAGATCGCTGACTACGCAGCATTGCACCAACCGAAGCCAAAGATGAAGCTAGCTTCTTCGTACCTCTACATCACGTAGTGGTCCGACCGTCATGACATTTCTTCCAAACTTGCGCTGTATCACCAGACCTCGGGGAAGGTTAGGGCCTATGGTGAATTCTCACCCTCATTCCCTGTCACCAGTGGAGTACGACAGGGTTGCCCTATCTCTCCGTTTCTCTTCAACTTTGCCATAGACGATGTCCTACAAAACGCGTTGCATAACGCAGCGAACGCTGGCGTCGAGCTTCTTCATGGGGACAGAGTCGTAGACTTAGAGTACGCCGATGATATTGCCTTACTGGGTGACAACGCACCAACGATTCAAGAGTCATTGAACCGTTTGGCAATTGAGGTTACTCGTTATGGTATGCCATTTGTACCTTCAAAGTGCAAAGTGTTGTTGCAAGACTGGCAGGAACCCATCCCTGCACTTTCATTGGATACTGACACTCTGGAAGTAGTCGGAAGCTTTGTCTA